GGGTTTTTTTTTTTTTGGGGGGGGGGGGGGGGTAATAAAAAACAATATTTAAAATCCAGTCACATGAAAATCCCACTATTCTTTTTGTACAAATATAGAAGACACTGAAAACATACTGACATTAAAGTATACAATGCAGATTAATGATTAGTGTATTTCTCTGGCAAGACTAGTTATAAAAAAAGAGCAGTTAAATGTAACTATATTTTAAGACTGTGTTATGCTTTTGATTGCTTGCATTTTAATTTAATCTTAAGATTGCTGAAGTCAACATATATACTCCAAATAGAGCATCTAGCTCTTACACTGTGCTTAACTAGATTCAAAGACAGGACAGTATCAATGTTCCCATTTTACAAACAGGGAAACAAAGGCACAAAGAAGATAAACTAGTTTCCCAAGGTCCCACAGCATGTCAGTGATAGTAATGGGAAGCTGGTGTAAAGGCCAGGATACCTAAAGAGAAACTTTGCTGCTTTCCCTCAAACTCCAACAGCAGCTTTGTGTTGTCCTCCCCCAAAATATTTATTGGGATGAACTTAGAGCCTTAGAAATAAGTTGACATGTTTCAATTTTTTTGAATCTGAATATACATACATTTTTTGTGAGTTCATACAGTTGTAATTCCAGTAAACAGCCTAGGTGCTAAAGCCTTGAACCAATCAAAACAGAGCAAAAACTAGGAGACTGGTTGTTTACTTAAGCAACACCTGAGTGTTGGAGAAAAACAAAATGTCATTACATTACTTGAAAACTGATACAGCTCATTTCAAATAATCATTTTAGTATTCCATCATTAATATATGAGAGAAACAGCAGTTTCACACAGGAGTAAAAAAATTGTTTTTGTAAGATGTACAGCATTACGCACGTTATATTGGAAGGACTGAATCAACAGCCCTATGCATTTCCAAACTGATATGATGAAGTGTCCTTATTTTTAAATATCATTCAGACTATTTAAAAGATTAGGACTGGAACAGCTTCGCTAGGGCTAAATCAAAAACTAACTTTGGCTATTAGAAAAATCAAGTTTCTAACAAATCCAGCACTACTAAAATTGGTAGTTTGATTCAATACAGTTTTAAATGTGTCAGCCTTGTCTAGCTAAATCAAACACAAGTCCATCAGCAGATAAGACCTTATGTGTAAAGTGCTAAAACAATTATAAAAAGTAATCCAACCTACTGAAACCCTTAAAGCTTTTTTAGTTTAATGGCACCAAGTAACAGACACTTGTGTAGCTAACAAAGTACAAAACTTCTCCCACAGCCCTCAAAACTTAATTTAACAGTATTTAATGTGTTCCTAATTTATGTTGACTTTAACAGGCCAATGTGTTACCCCACCTCTTCCTACTGTAACTGGAAGTATTTGTGTGTATTAGTTAGGCAGACTATTGAAAACTCTTTCTTTCTAGCTCCAACAATCCATCCTTTTCTTGGTTAACTTGGTCTAGCTTTTTGTAAGGGAAAATAAAATCATTCCACAGTCTTTCACTGAATATGCAAGAAAGCAGTTCCCATGAAAAGGGACCTACCTAACTCATGGCAAGAGAAAGCAATTTTCACAGCTTGACTGCGGCCTGGAGAGCTGATTCCATGGTCATTTCCTGCTGGCCTTGCTCCTGATTGGCAGAGAGGCACGAGGGGGCAGCCACCATCTTGGCTACCCCTTGTGTTGCACCTTCCCCACCAGGGAGGGCTGCATGACCAGGCCACAGCAGGATGAAGGACCACTGCCTCCCACTAGGGAGCCAGCATTTTATTTTTTTTGGTTGATTTCCTGGGAAATTGCAGCCAATGCCGTTTTTTGCAGAAATTGCGGAGATTGCTGTTTTTTGCGGTTTCTACAAATATTGTAAAATCACGATTTGAGTAGGCCCCTACCCATGAGGGCCAGATGAAGGGGCAGGTTTCTGACAAATCCATTCTTAACAGAGATGAGTAATACCTACACATAGCAGAAAATACCTTATATCTTTAGTGCTTGTGTAAGTTAAAGACATTTTCAGAGTCCACAAGGCATCACTAAAAACCATACAATTACCATATGTTAATAGCATATATGGTAACTGAAGTCGAAAAAGAAACTATGAATAAATTGTGTATTAAGGCTGAAGAAGTTCAACAGGATGCTTTGCAGCCACCATAGATGCATTCTTAAATTCAATGGCTCAGGTTGCTTTTGGTCTATTAGTCCATTAAAAAGAATTATGCTTACTTGCATTTTAAATGCACTAATTGTAGTCCTACAGTTCAACGGACAAATCAGACCCTTAATATACAGACTAAGTAGTAAAAATTCAGCGTGTAGTCAACATATGACTGTTCTGGATGGAAAAGTGAGTCCAAGTCAAAATCTGTACAACTGTAATGCCAAGTGGAATGAGACAAATCAAGTAGAACATGGCTTCATGAAGACCTAAAAACAAACTGAAAAACAAAGGAAAAATATAAATGTTTTCTCAAGACAGTTTAATGGCATTTAAAAGAAAAAAATAGGTAAATTACCTTAAAAATACTTTCTTGAGTAAAGATCCCCTCTATTTTCTATATTTTACCAAAAGCACAATATATGAAATTTAATTGTTTGATTCTAAGTAAACAATTCTGATTGAAAGTGACACACAATCATAGAATGTATGAATAAAACCCTTCCACCCACCGTTTACTGTATCCTCTCCTTCACAATGTGTGCACTCTCTCACTATTCAGCAATATTCAACTATATTTTCTATTTATAAATCAACCATTTCTTAAAACCCCCCCCCAAAAAACGTATTTGTGCCCTTTGTTCCTCTACACTATGGTAGATTTTACGAGAATGGAAGAAAGAATAGAAATGATTGACAATATTAATATTTTAGTATTTGCATCAAAAATCTGATGTTATCTATGCCTTTAGTATATTATCATGGTTGGTATGGGTTATGATTAATGTATGAATCTCAGTTATAGCATTATATTAATACAAATTTAGTTGTACCATTTTAAAATTAATATTAAAAGACACTTATGCTATGAAGATATTATATGTAAAACTAGCATTTCAATTTTGGTTCCCCCTCATAAATGCAAAAGTATTTCCTAGTCCCAATCTTCTCCTAGGAGCAAAACAAAAACATCAACAAATATGAATGTAAAAGAATAGTGCAAGTTAAAAGCCAAGTTATTTTAATGAACAGGCTGGCTTCTGACAACTCAGAGCACCCATCTAGGAATCTGCCTATCATCCAGGATCATTATCCACTGGCTTTCTGTTAATTATTGAATTCTAGGCTTAAATACCAAGAAACTGAATTTAAGCTGAGAGAGAGTCTCTCAGAGCAATGCCATTAGATTTCTGAGCCCTGTGTAAGGTTCACAAAAGATACTCCTCAACCTCTAACCAATTAGTCTACTAACAAGGCTGTACAGCTTTTGGTTTGTGAGTGAGTGCACAGCAAGCATGGGGCATTTCCGTACAGTGCTGCCTTGGGCCATATAGACATACCCTAAGGATATGTCCGCATACCTCAATTATGGTACAAGACAGCAATGTGGAGACGCACTAGGTTCACTCTGTGTACTCTGGCCCCCAAACTGTAAATATTGCTCCATACACACATAAGCTCATTAGCTCTGCTCTGAGAAAAGTTGCTAATCAGCCTGCATGTAAAATCACATTAATGTAGCTATATTGTCTCCAGTTTGGGAATGAGCACAGTGTGTCTGAGAATGATATGGCCTTCTCATGTTGTATACCCCTAGTGACCTTGCATCCTGGGCAGCTACACCAATCACACAGCCCACGTTATAGCTCTGCAGTCTTCAAAAGATCTGTCTCCCAGGATATTATTTGCTGTCTCCCATTAGCATTCTGCAATAAGATGTGAAAGATGACTGTTATAGGCTTGCTCCAAAGTCAATTGAAGCCAACAGAAATACTCCTATTGACTTCAGTGGTCTTTGAATCAAACTGTTTTTGTCTAAATCATAAAAGTCTAACTGCAAAGTTTCATTGTGCGGATCAGAAGAATGCCCACTGACTTCTACAAAACCAGAATTTAGTCCTAAATGCATATACACAACAGCATCACTGTTTATTCTAAGCTATGCACATATTAATGCCAAGTGAGAAAGAACAGTTAGAAACTTAAACAGAAAGAAAGCAAGAATAGAATTAATTGCTCAGGCAACTGAACACAAAAAATGGGACTGTTACTTTCAGGTCACAGGTTCCTAGCCAGTGTCCACCAGTAGTTACCAGTTTGATGACTGCTTACTCGTACCTACATTAAATAGTGTTTTCAGTCTATCCCCCTGTAAATGTGCAGCCATGGCATGCATGTTACCAACACTGGCATAACAAGCTGACTGGACAGCCCTGCTGTACATTAATAGAGGACTGTAGTTAAGAAACAAACATTGTAGAATAAGAAAAGAAACATTTGTCCCAAACTTTCAAGTTACACTGGTACAGTCCTGGTTTGGTTAGATGTGGTTGAACTGGTTTAAGAAAAGAAATATGACCTAAGGTTTTAATGCACGATTTTACACTTGTAAAATTACAAAAACTAAAATGGCTGCATTCTATTGCAACAAGAATTAGGAAATATAGCTCTGAAAGAAGACCAAGAGCAAAACTCAGATTATATCAAAACTCTGAAGTAAAAAAGTAGCCTTACAAATCTCCATGTTCGTAATTATTTGTGCATGAAGAAAGTATGCAGACACAAACACATACAGCTACCCTGCTTAAATATTTGTTATATTTTCTATTTAGAACATTACATTTACACTGGAACGTGATGTTATACTCTCAACTGTTACAAATGTATTGATAACTCAAGAGTGCCTACAATCTCAATGCATTGATGATAAAGTGCTTGATAATACATTGTTCATCTGTTTACAGTCTGGCAAACATAAGGAAATATTAATAATAAAGAGGGTAAAGAGTTACTGTCAAACATTTAAAAAATGAGCAATGCAGTATGTTTTCACAGTGCATTTTCTAGTAGGACTGTAGTTGCAGTAGTTCTCCAGAAGAGGGAGGTTTAAAAAATGCATTTTTCGTATAGCAAGTAAAAGGGACAAGTAAAAGGGACATAGTGGTAAGAGGCACACAACTTTCTAATGAGTATGACTAAAATAAGAACAAAAACACCCTCCCCCTAGTCTGTAAATTATTCCTGTAGATTCCACTAGGGGTGCACCAAGGGAGAATTTTTGGGCCGATACTGATGGCCAATTTTTAGTGAGCCATATTAGCCAATACTGATCCGATTCCAATATGTGGCCGGGCAGCTTGGAGAGTGGCGTCTGGTTGTTAAGTCTGCTGTGAGGGAAGGGGTGTGTGGGAGGTGGGGGGCAGATGGAGGCCCCCACAATGAGGGAGTGGGGCTGGGGCAGGGGCAGGTGCTGCACAGCTGGGGCAGAGGTGCGAGCAGCTCATCCAGGGGATGGGGGGCAGCTCCTGCCACTGCATGCACTCTGGGGGGGCATGGGGGACATGTGCCCCTGGATCTCCATGGCATGGGGGACACGTGCCCCTGGATCTCCATGTGGGATGAGGGTGGGCTGCCGCTGCAGGCTAGAGCTGCACTGGGCTCTTCCCAGCGGGGGTTGGGCCAGGGTACATTCAGGGCAGGCTGTGGCAGTGCTGGGAGGGGGCTATGGTGGGGGGGGGGCTGCAGCCACCCCAAAATTCACTGTAGCCCTCACAACCCTCCCTTGCAGTGCCGCCATTGCCCTCCCCCAGTGCAGCCCGGCTGAACCTCCACTGGGAAGAGCCTGCCCTCACCTTGCACGCAGATCTGGGGACATGTCCCCCATGCCCTCCCTGGGTGTATGTAGCAACAGGAGCGCGCCATCCCCGCCCCCGGATGAACCAACTGCAGCTCCATCCCGCACCACGGCTGTACAGTGCCTGCCCCTACCCCAGCCCCACTCCTTTCCTCACCACAGAGGCCATGATCTGCCCCCCACAATGCCCCTTCCCTCACAACAGACTTACCAGCTAGACCCAGCTGCTCTTCACACTGCTGGGCTGCAACTGTGCGTGCACAGGGCATTTATTGTGGCGTTATCGGCCACATCAGCCAAAAAATGCTGATTACCAATACAGTCAATTTTCCTTATATTGGTACCAATCTGATATGGGACCAATGTATTGGTGCACCTCTAGTTATTAGAGGTGCAACCCTGCAATATGGTGATGTACATGCGCCACACCCCTTGGCTCCCTGATCTGGATGGACCACCCCCACTTGGTACCTCAGAGGTCTTTACCCAGACAAAGCCTATGGTCCCAGCCTCCACACAGACAAAAATCATCTCCAGGGATCTGGGGTTCAAGTTCTCCCACTTGTGGGATGTGCTCGCTGGTGGAGACTCTGGAGGGCTGGGTGAGGGAGCTCCAGGAGGTGGTGAGCAGACTGTGAACCATTATGGAACACAAGGTGGATATCAACGTTTACTGCCAGGCCCTACACCTGGAGACCACGCAGAAAAGCGGGCTTGAGCAAGATGCCCCAACCAACAGCACATGGAAACTGTTCACATCAGACCCAAAGCCACAACATGCATCAGGTGCTCCACCAACAGCCCTGTGCAACAACTATGCAGCCTTCGCACCATTGATGGATGAGGCATCTGCATCCTCCGCCCTGAAGACAGGACAGGAACAGCCGCCCCCACCAAGGAAGCGACAAAGAGTGATTGTTGTGGGAAACTCCTTGCTGCGGAGAACAGAAGGTGGAATTTGTCATCCAGACCCCTTCACTCAAGAGGTCTATTGCCTTCCAGGAGCCAGGAACCAAGATGTAATGGTGAGGATCCCAAAGCTAGTCCATCCTATGGACCACTACCCCCATGCTCCTTATCCACATGTGCACCAATGACACAATGAGAAACAACCCCAGGAGAATCATGAGTGACTACAAGTTCATGGGGGTGAAGCTCAAGGGACTAGGATCACAAGTGGTTTTCTTCTCAATCCTCTCAGTTAGAGGCTGTAGTCATCTGAGGGAGGAATGCATAGAGGAAGTCAACCAAAGACTTCAGAGATGATGTCGCCACATTGGTTTTGGATTCCTTGACCTTGGCATGCAGTTCAACGGCACTGGTCTACATGCTATAGATGGTATTCACCTCATGGGCAGACGGAAGAAGTTCTTCTGTACAAGAATCGCTGACTTGCTAAGGAGGGCTTTAGGTTAGACATGTCCAGGGGAGAGAGGGTAGATGCCACTGCTGTACACAAATCTTCTGGCCAAGATTACCCAAGAGAGGACTTTCAAGTAGGAGACATCCAGATGAGTACCAATGCCCCGAGGCACTTGAAGTGGAACAGAAACCTGAGGCTACTAAGAGTGAATTCAGGTGTCTTTATGGGAACGCCAGAAGCATGGGCAACAAACAGGACAAACTGGCACTCCTTCTGCCAGAGAAGGAATTTGACTTCACTGGGCTGACGGAGCCCCAGTCGGATGATATATATGACTGAGCAGTGGACATTGAGGGCTATAGGCTCTATAGGAAGGATTGGGTTGGGAAGAAGGGAGGAAGGGTGGCCTTCTATGTGAAAGAGCAGTATCCCTCCCTGCAGGTCACATCTGATTGCAGGGAGAGGTCCCTTGAGACCCTCTGGGTCAAGATACAAGGGGGCTCAAGAGAGGGGGACCTGATGGAAGGACTATACTATAGGCCTCCCTACCAAGAAGAGGAAAGCGATCAGGCATTCTCCAGGGAACTGACTGAGGCAGCCAGCACTAAAGACCTGATTGTCATGGGTGACTTCAACTACCCTGACATCTGTTGGGAAGACCATTCAGCTGGCTCCAGCAGGTCAACCAACTTCCTGGCAGCTACAACCTGTTCTTGACACCGGCTGTAGGAGGACTGATTTGGGGTGTGAGATTATATACACTTTTGGCAGGAATTATATCTATATTTAGATAGATAGATATATCTATAGATGTGTATAATATATACATCACATCCCTGTATTAGCCTCTCCACAATCTTTACATAAAATCCAAGTTTCTCATTTGCACTTGTGGAACTCTGTATAGCATCTCTCCTAACTCAATGATTATATTCTTAATTCAGCTCCCTACCCAAAACACACATTCCTACAACTTATCAATGGTAACAGTACACCGTAGCTAGTAGTATGCAACTACATTAAAGTGATATTTCACAGTGGTTGGGGCTCCATTATACTGTGTGTTTGGGCTGTTCTCTTTATGTAATCAATTGGAAGTTTCTTGGGGCAGATACTGTCTCTCTCAATGCTCTTATTATGTTCAGTCTTACAACCACTTACTGACATGAACAATCACTTATGTATAGAATTCAGTAAGCTAATTAATGGACAAGCAGAGGGATACAGATATTAAATCGGAAGTGTAAATCTGGCCTGCTTTTAGGTAGAAAGATAAATCTAATATCTAGCAAAGGAGGGAGGGAGGTATACTATACCAGTGTAGAGTATTTCCTCTTAAATAGTCTTCCTTACGGATTCAGGTGGTCTACATTGATAGTATTTAGGCTGTTTCAGGTATGTCTGTGGTGTAAAATTTCTGTACTTTCATACTAGCATGTAGACACCAAAGTATCAGTTTCCTTCAAAGTCTCTTTGTGCATGGCATGCTGGCATCTTCTACAAACACCTGGACAGAATCCAACAATACATTGCAGATTGAAATCACTACAGGACCTGGCACTGAGGTATGAAAATGTATAATACATTGTATCATCTATCCTTAACCTTTGTAATAGCAATTCCCAAAGCTGTAGCTGCTCTTCTAAAGTTTTGGAACATTTTCTAAGTTGGAGTGGCCAACCTGTGGCACATATTCCACATGGGCAGACCACAGAGGGGAGAGGCAGCACGGTGGCAAATAGTAAATAACAGAAAGCAAAGCAGCAGATCGGGCAGGGAAAACACATCAGGGAGTAGAAAGTAGAGCAGCCAATCAGGCAAAGGGAGGGGACTGGAATGATATTTGGGAAGGGTGTGTGGCAGAATAAATCCAGATCATGCTGAGACAAGAAATGTAAAACCTGACAACACATCTCTACAACTCCTACAATAACTATGCCCCACAACAGAACTATCATCATTCCTGGATCTTACATCTGCACCTCCAGAAATGTAATATCTAGCGCACTGAATGCCTTGATGGAAAACATGCAGGATAAACCAAATGACAACTGCGTACCAGAATGAATGCATGCTGAAAATCTACTGAAGGCAAAAATGCCCAATTACTTGTGGGTGCATATGTCTCACAAGACAACCACTTTCTCTCCAATCTCTCAGTTCTAAACCTCAAAGAGAACCTATAAAACACCTTTTGTAGATAAGCCTACCAACTTCACTTCATAAATCTACTGGATACAAAAAATCATAGCCTAAATACAGACATTGGCTTTATGGCACATTATAACCTTCCTGTTACCCAGTAACCCCAGGTACCCTTTCTACATTTTACCAGCTACATTTTATCACCACATCTCCCTGTCTCACACCAATTAACTCCTATCCCCTATGATCTTCTCTGCCATGTATTTGCATTTTCACAGACCTGCATTTTACATACTGGCCTAAGCTTCTGTTTGACCCAAGAGAGTATACAAATACCAGCAGACTCTCCCTATGCCTGAAGAAGGGTGCCTAAAAGCTTGTAAAGAACAATTTTTCTAACTACTCAGTTGGTCTAATAAAAGATACACATTTAACCAAAGAACCTTGTTTGGCTAACTTATGGCATACTTAGTAAAAAGGGTGGCCCCCACTGTTATAAATCTTCCTGAAGTAAAGAGAGGTCAGTATCACTGTGTCACCTGGAGAAGAAGAAATGTTGGCTGGGACTAATTGAACTTTCTGAGGTGGTGGGGTGAACCTGTTACTAGATTGTCATCTGCAAGATGGAGATATTTATTCTCTGCTGACTGATCTAAGAAATCAGTCAGTAAGTCCAATTTTCTACAGCAGTTTTGACTCTAAGAAGCTACAAAATTCCATAAGTGTTTGGAAGTACTAGATATTTTAATGTCAAGAAAATACTTTGGCATACACCTCTATTAATATAATCTTAGATTTTTCATGTAAAAATGTAAAAAATAACTAAATAAGCCACCTAACTAAACAGATCATAACATGTGATGTATGAACAAGTTTATACAAGAACTTACAGGACCAGGCTCTTGGTAAGCAACACATAGGGGAAGAGAAATAAGGTGACAAAAAGTCACATGAAATATCCAAGTGAATAAACAGGGAAGTTAGCTTACACAATTTGTTTGTATTTGATCACAACTGTGAACTCTTTAGGCATGTCCAGATGAGTGTAGACGTGTTATGTAGTGCTGCAGACCTGTCTATGGTGCCACACACGCACCACACAATCAGGCATTCCCCCACATCGCTACTTTGTATTGTGGGTTTTTTTTCTGACCCTGGGAGATCGCGTGCCAAAACAAAACATGCCTAAAAAAAGCGAGGTGGCGCATACAGTGGCAATGCACATCACCCAAAACTGGAGCCTGGTCAACCAGAGCAATGATCCGGCTGCCAGCCAGACTCCCTGCTGCAGGAGTGCTGCAGCTGCAGCTCTTGGAGGACCCTAGGTAAGGCTGCTGGGGCCAGCCCAGGTGCTGGCCTCAGCCTCCCCTACCCCACCTGGAGCAACACCCCACACACCAGTGTGTGGCATGGGCAGTCCCCAGGGACAAGCAACAGTGGCATAAGGTCTGCCACTGCTATGTGTCCTTGGGGAAACACATGTGCCTGCTCATGGGGATGTGCCCTTTGAGGTTTGTTGAAGAAGTGCATTTAACTGAGGGAAAGTATAATGGCACCATAGAATAGTAAAAAACACTGCTAATAGTTTCTTGACTTAGCATACAAAAAAGAATATACAAAAAGTATAACTGTGAAAGTAGTATACATAAAGTAGAACTGTGACATACAAACGCTATCATTAAGTAATAGAATGCTTTGTTGCCATGGTTTGATTTCAATTCAAGGTAAAACTAATAATTTAAACTTCAGCAAATACTTTATGGTTTTGTTTTTATTTTTTCCCCCAGTAAATAGCAGTGTTGGAAACATTTATTCATGGACAAAAAATTTAGTTAAAACACAATTAGGGTTGCCTTGATGCATCTTATGCCCTTCCAGAATGCTGAGTTCACAACACTCAAAGCTCTGAAAACCCAGAAGTGGAATGTTAAGATCCAGGCCAGCACAACCATAACTCTAATTTCCATGGAACTGGAAGTAGGAACTGAGAATGATGTGCATAAACTCCAGCTGCATTCACTGTGTTTAATGTAGTTGTCCTGAGTGGTGAAGTGATTAGTTGGAATAGAGGGGCAGAGGGTTCATGTCAACACTGAATTCTAACCACTGTATCAGTAGCAAGGCATGGGGTTGTTTCTTGCAAAGGGGATTAAGAGGAGCAAGGCGGGACAGAAGAGTGGTCTGTGGATTTAATAATGGGTAAATGAAAGCATAGTTTTATATGGCATCTGTTCCCAAAAGTTAAAGAGTTCTAAAAAGGACTAACTTTACAACTCTTTCAGCAAGCATGGGGCTGCTCCTGAAAAGTAAGCTTACTGTTTGAATGCATGGCAGGTGAAGGTATTTCCTGTTCAGCAGTACTTGCAAGCACTAAATCTTTTTACTGTTACATGCTCTTCCCTCCCACGTGTACTCGCTATGGTGGTACTGGAACAATGGTCATGTTCTGAAGTATCTGAAATGTGCAGTTGCTCCAAGGGCCAGTGAGAATAATCACAAACATGGTGTATCCCCCAAAATCTTGGCTGCTACATTACATAATGATTGCAGTAACTTTAAATAAATGAGATAAGACCCTCTCTCTCTCTAACCTCTCCCTTATCATTGTCTGAAAAATGTATTCCTCTGCCAACATTTCTAGGTCCTCTCTCCCACCTACCTTATTAAAACGTTGGCATAAAGAGCTAGTCCTTGCTCTCTGGTGCCCTCTCCTGCTGCACATCACACAGAAATGTGTATTTTGTATCACTGTACACACATCTGCTTATGTTTCTGTGACTTAAAGCTTCCTTTTTTCCACTCACCTTGAATCAGGCTGAATAACTTTATTATTCAGGTGCTCATATCCAAATTGATTTAATATCATAACCACAAGCATAGGAGCCAAAGACTGGGCAGGCTTGGTAAATAAAGCATTGGTACCAAAAACCATGGAGGAAAGTGGTGATCTGAAATATTTAAGATGAGTGTTAACCCACATGACACAACATATAAGAATATATAATCACTTATAGTACTTTCTGTTCACAATTTAAGTACTGTTCATACTAAAATGCTAGTCATCATGACACAGACATATGTATTTATCAGCTATGGTTCTGAAACAGTTGCATTCCAGTTAGATAAATTACAGGTTTTTTTAAACTATACACACAGACGTATAATCTTCTACAGTATTTTAGGTGCCTGCAATTAGTTTTACTCCACTGCAGATGAAATCAGAGGCCAAGTCCAAATGAGAACCCATGTGATATGTGGCACAGCAGACCCACCTGCGGCGCCACACACTGCACATTCAGGTGTTTTCCGCATTGCTACCTTGCAGCGTGGGGGTGGTTTTTGACCCTGGGAGATCCTGGGGTCAAAAAAAAATATTCATACAGAAAAAAAAAAAGCAGGGTAGCGTGCGTGGCAGCAGCATGCATTGCCTAAAACTGGAGCCTGGCCTGCTGAAGCCAAGCTCTGGTTGCCAGCCAGGCTCCAAGCTGCAGAAACACTGCAACTGCAGCTTCCCTGGCCCCCAGCTAAGGCTGCTGGGGCCAGCATGGTTGCTGGCCCTAGCCTCCCCTATCCAACCCGGGGTAACCTGGTGTATGCCAGAGGGCATGTGGCATGGGTATTCCCCAGGGACAAGAAGCAGCCAGAGGAGCTAATGGAAGTATGCCACAAGGTGTTATCCAAAGCCTACGACAAGTAACAGACTTCACTGGGCTTTGGACAAGGATTCAAATAGTCTAGTGATTCTCAAGCTGCTAGTATACATTATTAACAAAGAAAAGAGGAGAAACCAGGATAGAGTTACAATAGTTTGTGAGAGCTGTGTGACCTGGTTCTAGAACTTGAGAAAGTACCCTTGTTATATAACAAGTTGTTCCTCAGCAAACATAATACTGAAGTTATTCAGAATAACTTCAAGAGATGTGGTATCAAGAATATTCTGAAATTGCAATTTCCCCCCATTTTTCGAAGAAAATTCTTGGGCTCAGATTTGCACAGAGATTGGCTTAAATCCTATAGATATTTATGTGTTCAGCTTTATGTAATTTAATGGTCATAAGGCAGTGAACAGGGCTACTTATTTTTGGGTAGTTAATTATAATTTTAAGTCTTTTTAGGATGAAGGTTTGAGAGGGAGTCTGATATTTTTTCCCCAAATAACACAAAGTATTCACTTTAAACAAATGATTTCTTACAAGATAGTGACAAAAACCTGAAACTGCACTAGCATAAATATTAGCCTATTCATGAAAGTAAGAGGAAGTTATTTGTACTTTGATGCAAATCCAAAAGCTACATGAATCACAGTACAGTAGGTTTGTACTATAGGTATAGTACAGTAGGTCATAGTAAGTTTTATCAATTTTTGTTTTAAAAAGATAACCTCAATGGCATAAGGTTTGAATTTTGCACTCCAAACAGTATAGGTCAAGCATTCAAAATGCCTCCTCAACGTTAGTATAGGGTCATCCTGCAAAGTGCACAAGTAATGCTACTCACATGCTTAAGAAATACTTGTATTTAAGTCAACAGGACTTATCATATGAATGAAAGTGTGTTGGATTTAGTGCTTGCAAATAAAGTACAGTTCACAATGGAAACAACCTCTGACCTGCTTAAACTGCTTTTTGAAATGATAAAAAGGACTCATGCAACAAACTCCTATGCAAGTGTTTTTACTCATATTTAAAGTTGCACTTAAGTTTTGTAGGACAAGGCCCAAAGAAAGTTGCAACTTCTGCTGCACTTATTTGGATATAATCTAGCAAAAAGGTATTTAAAAAAACATTGGCTAAAATGTTAAAAGGTTTAAAAACAAAGATACAGTAATAATTTCTTACTACTCATTTCTCATGTAAAGTAAATAAGTGAAACTTCTAAAAAAATAAAAGTTATTACTTTAAAAAAAAAAAAAAAAAAAGCCTTTCCCTACCCAATTATAACAGTAGGAATCCTGTTAATGTGTTTGCTGACAAGACATTTTTATACAATGAACATGTTAAGGAGAATGTGATGGCACTTCATATAATAAATATTATGAGCACTAGTATGTTTAACATACCTCCGTTTATGCTTTATTAAGTCTGCATCAACAATATCTGCCAAGGGCAGATTAAACAAACTGAATGAAGCTTGAACAATTACCCTAAAGAGAGACAAAACATTAAAAATGTTCATAAGCATTAAACCAACTTTTCCCAATAAAAATATTTTAACAGATAGCTCCATGTGGCATTTTATATACAAGCACATGCACTCAATATATACATTAAGAAAATATATTCACTACAGAAAAGGAAAAGTTATGAGGTCTGTTTCAAGAACAGTTCTCTACAGTAAAGCTCTTATTTTCTCTCAGAATTAGAAACTCTATACAAACCTAAAACATTTTCACAACTCCTTCTGGAATGTCAAGGTGACACCAGCTTTGTGCAAAGTATAAAATAAAAGATGTTTGGTTGAGATTACTAGAACCAAAGGAACATCTTGGAAGAAAGACGAGAAACATTTCCCTTTGAAATGTGAAAGATATGCAAAAGACTGGTTGAGAAAGACAGGATACAAACTTAAAACAATTTCAAAAGTGACGAATGAAAAAAAAAATTAGAAAAGCACCTTGGTTAACACATAACCAATTCAACCCAATGAAAGAATAAATAGGAAAGACTGAGATTTAATTGTACTGCTTACCTTTGGGATAATGAGATGCTAATTATAACTGGCTTTTTGGGCCTTTTAGCTAGTACTAAATCAAACAGTCTTCACATACCTTAGAGATTTTTCTAAGGAAACATGTTCCTCATTTTAAATATGAGATAATATCATTCAGATTGGAAGTCATGTGATCCTTGATTATAATAGCTCATGATGAAATACTGAAAGATGAAAAGAAAAAGGGGGAAAGAAAAGGAGAATAATGGAAAAAAGGGGGTGGGGAGGTAGGAAAGGAAGAGAAAGATGAACTGAATTGTAGTAACAGTGTTCAGACTCCAAAAGCTGTTTTAAAAATATTTAATGAGAACCCCTTTGAGAGTTTTCCACACCTCGTAATATACCTTCTCTATAAAACTGCTTTAATGTTTAGCCAGTCACCTGATTTGCCAATATCTACATGAGAGGAGGGATCTTAAAATTTTCTGGCAGTGCCACAGAAAGGTGTGATTTTACCTTGGAAACAGCCTTGAGTCATTACTTTGGAGGAATACCTCACTGAGTGGATAAGTAGAAAGTCTGCTTCACTGGACTCTGCTTGTAACTATCTTTAAAATTGATGCATGGCTGGAGGTGGTGCTGCAAACTAATTATTAACTCCACTGTCCATTTTAGGAGGTAAAATGTAAAACAAATAAGATACTGAAACACTGAAACAGAAGCTGCTGTTGTATTGCTGCTCCATTCTCAGACTGGTGAATTAGAATAAAGGAATCTTGTAGCCAGGAATTATTCAAGTTATCAAGAGGGTATATTTTAAAGAGAGAGAGAACGCGCGCTGACAGGCTCCTTATGCTTTCAGTGACTAACCTATTAAAAACTTTAGAGAATATCCTTTCAAGCATATATTTACTTACATGTTTGCTGTGAGATAAAATGCCAGGAAATAATAGTGTTCAGGCCCTACAGCAAACATAGCAGCTGCAGTTATTACTTCTAAGTAAAAAGAAAACAAGATGATCTTATAATAACCAAACTTCTTCAACAAACTCTGGCTGAGAAGTACGAGACACTGAAAAGAATAGAAATAATATATTTAAAAATATATATACTTCAGTGTGTTATAGTACTATACATATCTTACTGCTTCATGGTCTGTAAATAATATTGACTGGAAAAAAAGCACATTTTCTAAAAAAAGAAACTCAATGATAAACATTTTTCAAGTACCTCTCATAATTTAAAAAAGTAACAAGTTTACAGACAGAATTGATGACTGATCCATCCTGTTTGACCTGTAGTAATGGCTTAAAAGAGACATTGCAGAGAAGAATGCTTTTTTCCACCCAAAATAATTCATCAAGCTGACTGGTCATGACTATACCCTGGGGAAAATATTCTTTTCTACTTCAGCCAGCAAGCTGCTTGTGTCCTAGAACATGGTGACTGATACCCTTACACAATGTATTTTGTAGTATGTTTAGTTAAAAGAGCTTCTTGCTACTTGAACTTTGACTGCTGGGCTGAACAAAACGGTTACAGATTTCTTTTAAAGCTTTTTTTTCATTAACATTGAAATGGCTCTGATATCAGTGGAACTTCTACTCACATGACATTTGTAGTTGATAAAACAGTTTCACTGAGACATTCTATTATAGCATGATACCAACTTGGCTAGTGGGAAAGGTGGATACTGATAACTAGTAAGACTGCTGCTTTTTAAACAGATCTTTAACAATGGCTGATGCAAAGTGTTAGTGACATTCAAATTTTTGGATCTGTGACATTTGGTAACTCACTCTAGATTACTGCAGTACAATAAAAAGTCATTAAGTTACTCAAGTGCTCATGAAGTTCATTTGTTATATTAGCTTTCTCTGTAAAACACTGGTGCTGAGTCAGAGATGTTTTAAATTTAAAGCATGTTGCTGTGTGAAAATGGCAAGTAAATGGTTAGCTGGATTTACAGGAATTAGAAAAGAATCAAACCCATGAATATAGCATTGCAAATTACTGTATACTCCAATGTTAATCATTTTCAATTTGCAGCAACAGAACTAGCCATAAACAGTATGTCACAAAAGCCTGGATTACTTAAGTCAATGTGGGGGGGCAACCATTTTGGCAGGCATGCCACAGATTAACCCTTCACTGTCTCCATTTGCTGCTCCAATCCCTTTCTCTTACCTCATCTGCTGCTCAGCTTTCTGTTCGCTGCCCTATCTGCAACTGTGCTGCTTTCCCTCTCCCCAATCAGTTGCCTGCCAACACAGAAGTTGCCTATGCCATCTGTCCTACAGGTTGGGCACATCTGACATAATTCATTTAAAAATAAAAACAGCTCAAAAACTGTTTCACTGTGGAGCCTTAAGACAGAATTTCAAATGGAGGCTACTATCAAGTAACATAATAGTAGCTAATGCCACCTCTTGCAGGCAAAAACCTCTAAAAGCTTGATGACTGCCCTTGATCTTGAGGCAGAAAACTAACACCAAGGTGTGAGGAGGTTGAGAAGAGGAAAGAAATGAAGAACAGACATTATCTTGAGGTAAAAATCTCTCTCATTTTTGGAACTGCAGGGCCATTTACAATCAAATTCTAATCTTTTTCATGAGCGAGACTATCAATACAATTCTGGAAGTTGATTAATTATTAATAAAGCACATCTCAGTTTTCAGATACCAGGTATTTGCAGATACCAATGCTGGTTCACAAGAAAACTCTTCCCTCCTCAACATAAATAAAGTAAACTACACTGCTGGTACTAATACTTGTTACATGTCATTGATAAATAAGATTTGTAGTTAGCAAATGTCAATACGGAAGAGTTTTGAAGAGTGCCTGACAAATAGAAAGATTTGCACTTCGGTAAAAAGTCTTCATACTTAGATATGTATATTATTTTAATAAACTGGATCTCAACTTCTTGTGATTAAGACAAAGCACTTGGTTCTAGAAACTCTGATAAGAGACTTGCAACCTTCCAAAAAAGGGTTTCTACTTTCAAGAAAAAAATATTATTGGCTCAGTGATGTTTTCAACTTCAGTTTAAGTCTTGTTCTCCTTTCAACACCAGGGAAACTGCTAGGGAATACTGCAAACCATACAAGCAGTATTCTAGTCCCTTTACGGGTTATTGAGGCACAATCCACAAAGAGACTTTATTTCAAGTACACTGGATGCTTTACAAATAAGCAAAGTTCAGGACACTACCATCAGAAAATTCTCTTACTATATTTTGAATTCAAAATGACAACACATAAGGGGAAAAAAGGACACACCAAACTCTATATGGTTCACTGACCTTCTAGACAATGAGTTTTTGGGGAGCAGAGAGAAATGCCTTTTCTAAAAGATTGTTCACTTCTAACGATCACTATATATTGAGTGTAAAGTTATTAAAGCGCTCCCTATTTCTGTAGTTTCTTTTATACATGTTCCTAAGGAGTGTTATATCAGTTAGAAACTACTGAAAAGGCCTGTACAATCTGTGGCAGATTTTGAATGGCAGATGTTTGTGAATTACATAGCATAGAAAATAAATTAAGTATTGCCTGTAAAAAATGCTATATTTTTTCTGGCATATCAGCAAAATCTTCCTTTTGCCTTTTTCTTATTTTTTTTTAAATTGTCTTTAAGAACTTAAGAGCCTGATTTTCAAAGTGCTGAACTTAAAAAGTGCTCTGTACTTACGAACAGTCAACAATCATTTTCTAAAGTAAACTCATTTAGATTTTGAAAACCTGATGTAAGGTTTTAGAAGGCAATGAGTGGGGGCGTTATTTTTTTTAAAGAGCTTAGTCATGTTCTGAACTAATCACTCACTCACTCTCACTCCACTTCTAACCACTTTGGTATGTTTTCTTTCCATTACATCCATATTTGGGTCTCTTGGGGTGCGTCTACACATGCCGCTATGGAACCGTTGGTACTGTGTCATCATTTAGTACTTCCTTTTGGAAGTACTAAAATATGGTGCAGTAATAGCTGGTAGTGTGCCGCATGTGCTGTGCATGGTTATTTTTAGGCACTACGTCATCATAGTTATGTGTTATGATGGGGGACCATATTGTTATGGTGATGTAGCTGTGGAGTCACAGGTTTTTCCCCACGGAGGCTACATCACTACGGCGATGTAGCAACATGTGTAGACGCACCTTTGGAATGGGGTCTCATGAACCCTCTAAATGCAGGTGGCCAAGTAAGTACACACACATTCCTGCCCACCCCACTTAGATGTCACTCCCACAAATACAGATGTAATTCCAGACCTCTACTCTGTTAGGTCATTTAGACCATTCATCAATTCCTATGTTGAAGCTGAGGTAGTGTGGGTTTTTTTGCAGTATTTTTATACATAGTATTTAGTTTTCAATGCTTTAAATTTCCCAAAGGAATAGGGGTATTCTCATCTCATATCCACATACATAAAAAAGAAAAACAAAATCCATACTTAAATAGATTTTGTTTCTGGGTATTCTTCCATGACAGGTATTTTTTGTCTTTGTTCTTTACTATAAACCACTGTAGACCTACCAACCACTTACTTTTCCTTCTTGGCATATGCATTTTCTGAATTCTCATAGATTGTTATTCTATCTGCCTGCTCTCGCTTGCCCCTCTGTCCTTTATTTGGTGTTGACTACACTATACACACAGGTATTAAGTTCTTTTACAATGTTGGTCCACAACATTTGTGTGTACTCAGGTTGCTAAAACGCTTCTGCCAGATACAGCATTTTCTCAACAAAGCAGTGTAAACAGATACTTTAATTTACTGAGAACTAGCACAAAATTCAACAGTGTTTTCCTTGCAAATGAAAGATTAAAAGCATTACTGCATACCTGAGGACAAATAAAGCCTGCCCCATACATGATGCTTCTTATAAAGGAGGAAAGGACATCCTTAGGGATGAGATTATCCGCAAAGATCATCATGAAATTGTTGCAGAAAGCTAGGTGGAACACTTGAAAGAAGTTCATAGTCACAAAAAGCACAAAGTTTCTCTCTGTCATGATCTGTTTGGTCAAAGAAATTACAGAAGACCAGGAAAGATTTCTATCATCATTTCCGAAGCTAGTGTCTTCCATGAGAGATTCTCTCTGTTCATACTGACTAGTGCTATACATGCCAGTGTAACACATACATGCAGTCGCTAATACTGCAACTAAAACAGTAAAGCCTTGAAAGTAGGTAAAATTTTCCATGTTATCAGATATTAGTCCACAAAAGAGAATGCTGGTTGATCCAACTAACGATGCCACTTGGCTATATTTAATGAGCTGAAGTCTACTTTCATGTCTACTTGAAATCTCTGCAAAAAGTGCACACTGTGCTAGCAAAACAAATGTAAGCAAGCCATCAAAAGCACATAAAGCAACAATAAGGTGAAGACCACTTAGCCAGTCACCTTCCTGATAATGTTTCCAAGGAAACCATGGAAGCAAAAAGGCTAAGGCATACAATGGAGCTCCATATAAAATGGAAAACTGGCGTCTCGAACAGCATGGGAGTTTGGAGTTGTCTTGAATATACCCAAAGAGAGGGTCATTAATGGCATTCCATATCATAAAAACCACCTAAGATGAAAAAATAAAGAATTTATTATTAGTAACACACGTGTTCAATTGGAGGCTTAAGAAACACAGTATCTGGAACAACAGCAAAAACAAAAAAGCTGGCCTACATAAAAGAGAAGTTAAAAATATTATATATATTGTAAAATTAAAACAAAGACACAACATGTTTACTGCAGAGTAGACTAATTAGCTCCACAGTGAAAACATGCATCTCTGCTAGGCCACAAGAAACTAATTAACTCCACAGCAGTGCATGTGTAGATGCTGACCCACCTGGCCAGGGCATGAAGGTTTTTCAGTGCAGGGACTGCCTTCCAGCTAGCCCAATGCTGAAGCACCCTTGTGCCCAGCCAGCCCCTCCACAGCATGTTAATTCAGGTCAGAGCAGCCCCGGGCTGGCAGGCTGACCCTCTGGGCTCCCCAGCCAGGGCTGCTCTGATCTAGTTTAACATGCTGCAGTCCCAGGTGCACATGTAAATGTGGCACCTAGGAACAATAAACTCCAGCGCGATATGTGCTAGAGTTTATTGCATCGCATTAATATGCACATGTAGCTGGCACTCTGTATGTAGAAGCAGTTAAGTCAGGGGTGGGCAAAATACGGCCCGCAGGCTGGATCTGACCCATCAAGGCATTCTATCTGGTACATGGTAGGTTCCTTTGCCCCACCCAGCCCAGGTGCAGGGGGCAGCCCAGGCCATGGTATGTGTAGCTAGTCCCGCTGCCCCTGGGTGCAGCAGCTGCTATACTCTGCTGCCTGGCAGCCCCCACAGCAGCGGCTCCTTCCAATTGCCACCGTTACTGTCTCTGCCACTGCAGGCCATGGCCCTGCTGCCCAGGCACCCTGGCCTGCCTGCCCCACACCCACTGTTGGGGATGCTGGACAGAGCAGGTGGGCAGGTGGGAGGGGTGTCCATGGAGACTGGCCTGGGACCCCCACGAGCGGGGCATGCTTGAATGGGCAGATGGGATGGGGCCACAGACAGGCAGGGAGCAGCATCCAGGAGTAGACAGGAGGGGAGCAGATTGCAGGTCTGCCCCGTGCTGTCACCACTCCACAATCCTGGCCCTTGCCCACTCATGGCCCCATCTCATCTGTGCAGCCAAGTGCAACCTGCCCACCAGGGATCTCAGCCAGTTTCCATGCAAACCCCAGGCACCCATTCTGTCCAGCGGCCCCAGCGGTGGGTGTGCAGTAGATGGCCCTGGGCCTGGGCCGGTAGGGTTGACTGCCTCCTGCCCTGCTGGGCCAGTACCCTCCACCCAGCAACAGCTCACCAAAGTGGCCTTCCAGCCAAACTAACTACCCACCCCCAAGTTAAGTGAAACTATTTCTCAACTCTTCTAGCAGAGGATGTTGATATATAAATACAGAAGTTCAAAATATTGTGCTTAATTTTCCACTGAAAACATTCTTCCAGTACCATAAAGGCTTTTTGTATTTGTTTTTTTTTAAACTAAAAGCTATAAACAATGTACATTTAGTGCATCTTTAATTTATGATAAATCAAATATTTCAGTAGAGCAACAATAAATTCATAAGCAAAGCAGAATTATTTCAGTGCTATATAAAGGTTATACAACACTAATAAAATCAATGTTCCAACATACTGTACCTGAGCTTGATGAAAGGCAATTTCTGAAATCTTGTATTGGTTTAAGAAAAGCTTAACATAGTAGAAATTAAAGATACTGTTCATCATTCCAGCACCTAATGTGGTCATGGAATATGCCAGTGCATTAGGATGAATTCCTAAAACAATCTTCATTTTCCAAATTGTGATAGTTTCTTCTTCTGCTTCTAATTAAAAAAAAAGTTAACAATTAGACAAGTATCATTACCTGATATTTATAAACTTGCTAACAGTACAACAAGGAGTTCTGTGTTACAATATGCCATGTTGCAGGGGACAACCAAGGCAGATTTGCCCATGTCAGGGTTACAGGCTGGGGTCCCAGAAATCTGTATTTAAGGATTTCCTCATTCTCAGTCTCTTTTCTACTTCTAAATGTATAACAAAACATATAAGATTATTGGACCATGAGCACAAGCCTAAACAGCTGCAGTATTAATACCATTTCTTAATACATCTGCAATGCTTAAATGCCAATAGACCATGTCTAACAAATATAAAGGGAACTTTTATCATACCCCAGTCCTACATCTATGTTAGTGCAAATCCTGCCCCCAAAACCACAAATATTTTACAGATCACTCTTTCTTTCATTAGCTTAAAAACTGTTAAGTGAAAAACAGACTAAATACATTTAATTCATATTAATGGATTACCTTGAGGTACCAATATCTAATAAGCTGTAAATTTAGTTCAGTAATGTTTTTAAAACACATTCTTTTAAACCAATTCAAGATGATCATTTTTAGTTTAATGTTAATAATAAAAAACAACCTGGAAGCAAACTTTCAGTTGACAAAATAATAAAAGACAAAACAGAAGCCATTACTTCTGACTAGGAATTTCTTCATCTCTGTTTTCTCCCTTACTAGTCTTATATTACAAAACTAGAAATTTAAATAAAGCATCCTGAAGCTAAACATTATGCTCTGTAGTCACACAGCATGTGAAACATACCTATGGGGTTCAGCCAAGGACATATGGAGTTCTTAGCTCAGCACTCTCTAACTTAAGCAGTGTACAGGTGGCCCCATCCCACTGCTAGGGTGAGGTGGGAAGGTTCAGAAACTGGCCCCGTATGGGTGCTACGTGAAGTGCTGGTCCTGGAGTGGGTGCCATGTGCTTTGTGTGTGGGCCCATTTGGCGTGTGCTGCATGTGGCATGTGGGTAAACTTAAGACCCAGGGCCAGCAGCTAGATGATGGGGCTCCATGGGTCAGATCAAGCCTGCAGGCCAGATTTTTGACATCCCTGATTTAGCATAACACTTAATTATTCTTTTCTAATTCAAGTTAGAAACAAAGGAACAGTTGGGATGAGGGGGAAAACGGGAAGAAGCAAGCCTCCATGGCCCTTTGAAGGTGCTTATATTATTAAATGAAAAGATGACTGAAGGTAGCAATAGTGAGAAGACACAACTTTAAATTTAAGCTTGTTACATGTTCCAAATAAATTCTGTATAATGGCTTTACACTGTTCACTGCATCTGACTTTTCACATACAAATGTGAACAGCTAGATTATTTTTCTTTTGAAAATCAATTGGTATTAATAGCTCATTCTAATCCACCTAACCATATGTATTTCCTCAGTAACACAACTTCAGATTTCTTCCTAAGAAAGCTGTGCAGTCCCTCAATATTTCATAGCACACCAATTCTCAAAAAATATATATTTTAAAGAATATTTGATAATTTCTGATTTATCCCTTCAGTCACTAGAAATTCTGTCTGTAAATATTCATTTCCATTCTCATTCTCAATAAACTAAAGCCACAGGCTGTCCTCAGCAAGATTTCCACATCCTTTTAAACTAAGGGAGGCTGCCATCAGCAAAAACAATCACTTTTCATTGTTCCTGGCATGGCTGAAGGTAGGCATTTCTGGGGAAGATTATGACCCTTAGTTACCACACAAAGTCCAGGAAACCTGCATAGACGATGAGCAGACAGCTGCCTAGCTTGTCTACAGATGGTACTCCAGAAGCAGTAAGTTAAATGTTTCTAGCCTTGACACAAAGTGGAGTGTAGCCGCATGGTATGTGGCGCTCCAGATACATCCACGGCACCACATACTGTACATTCAATTGTTCTCCTCCCTGCAAGGGAGCAGTGCAGAGGGTTTTTTGGACCCCTGGATATGCAGGGGTCCAAAATACCCACTGAAGAAAGAAGCGGAGTGGCACACACAGTGGCAATGTGCACCACCTAAAGCTGGAGCTGTGCTCTGCTGCTAGCCAGACTCTGCATGGGAGAAGCAACACAGCTGCAGCCCCTGCAGGTCCCCAGCTTCCTCTACCCTACCATGGGTAACTTGGTGCCAGAGTGCAGGTGACAGCTAGCAACCAGACACAGTATCCTGCTGTTAGTTGTCCCTGGGGAACCACACATCCACACACATCTGGACATGGCCAAAATGTGTTAATGCTGCTTTATTTTATGTTGGTTTTGCACACTGGTGTGAATTAGCCTGAAGTAGTTGCTGTTACAGCACCTAATCACTAGGTGGGAAGATGAGCACATAATAACCTGCGTGCATTAAGCAGTCTACCATGGGTTAATTGCAAAATACTTTACTTCTACAAGCCTGCTTTTATTGATTTTTTTTCCTGGGGTAGCTTTACACCACATTCTAGTAAGCTGCACTGCTACATGGGGTTTCCAGTGTGCCTGCTCCTTTTTTTTTTTTTCACACCAGTAAGAGGCAATTTATACTTGTGCAATCATGTTGGGCATCCAACCTTGGGGGCAGATGCTCCCCACTCAAAGTGAAAAAAAATCATCAGCTAGGCACAAAGTTAACCTGAGCCAAATAAATAAATACATACAAGTATCTGTAAGCCACCGCTGGTTTTTGTAAATACTTTTTTTTTTTTTTTTTTT